TACTGCTGTTAGGACTGCTGCTGCTGCTGCTGTTCACTTGCTGGCAGGTCGTCCAGGAGGAACAGCTGAGGAGACAGCTCTGAAAGGATTGCTTTAAACAGTATGGCTACAAAATGTATCCAAATCCAGTGCTTTCAGAAAGTTTCTGTATGATGGGCTTCTAATCATCTTACGTTAGATTTCAAATCCATACCTTAGCTTTGCTGCAGTTGTTTTGAATCTCTCCATCAGCTTAAATTAACTTGGTTTTAGTGTTTTGTTCTAAAAGAAAATGCAAAGAAAATAAATCAGCAGTTGAGAAGTTTGTATGCTAAAGAGGATTGTGTTTTCAGAGAACACGTTTTCATCATAAAATGCTGAATAGTTTACTGTTGCAGTAATTTCTGTTTTCAGTTAATGATCAGTCTGTTAATCTCTCCAAAATAACTCTGCCTGACTTTTTAGGGTAATGATGTAAAGGAAGAGTCTAGGTCAGTAATTAGGCTTGGAGTTGCCTGTAGGTGCCTGCTCATGAATTGCAGGATATTCTTTGACCTTCATGTTGTGCATGGAGTTTTTTTGTAACTTCAAAAACAGCTCTTCCTTAGAATTCCTTTATTCTGTTTTTCCATTGTTTCGTATTTACTTTCAAATAATACCAATTTTAAAATTATCTGACTGATGTAGTCAGATTGACCCTTGAGAATTGCAATATCTTCAAGTATTATTGATCACCAAATTACTTGGAAATGTATGATAATTTCTGACATGAATGTGCTGGAAGAAGCAATGGAATGTCATAAAATGGCTCCATTTCCTCCATGCTGAAGGGGACTCTGCAGCCTGAGAGCCTTCAGCTATGAATGAACCAGAGGTTCTTGTGCTAGCCACAGTCAGAACAGTATGATGGAAATGCACTTATACTCAGAACTGAATTAATCTCATCTGCATAGCACAATGTTTGCTTTAGCCTGTTTTAAACCATCCATTTTATTAACAGATAAGGTAACAAATGAATGGGGCTTTTTTAATCAGATGCCAATGTGAGTGTCTTGAAATATTTTAAATAAGTATAGTAGATGACTAATACTCCCTTATAGTCTACCTCACATTTTGTGAGGTAGGAACTCAAGGCATTTTTGCGTAAGTAAATATTAATTCCCATTACTCCAGAAGGCAATAATGTCTTCCTGATACAAAGAGATAATTTTCTCAAAGCTGCTTGGAAGGTTATTAATTCTGTTTATCAAGAATTTTCAAGCTCCCAGAAGTTTCAAGCCAGCTTTTACCCCTTTTAATATTCTGAGTTAAATGTTTATATACATATATTTTAATGGAACTTTTCTGATTTTAAATAGATGGATATGAGTTTAAGATAATCTGGAATGTAAAATGCTTCTGCAGCTTCCTTGTCTGTAGTGCAATCTTTAGGAGTTGAGGAGTTCCAAATATATACTATTATGTTGAGTCACTGGATGTTCTGCAGTTTAAGGTGGGGTCAAAATGTTTTCCCAAGGAAGTTAAGTAAGTGTTATTTTCCTCTGCTCTGGCTCTTCTAAATAATGTAAAACTTTTTTAATGTTCCTGCAATAAACCACATAAGATATTCTCTTACATCTGAGAAAAAGTTGACTCTCTACTTTGCTTTACCATGGGAATAATTTAAAGAAAGTTTTCTTTATCCTATTCAGGAAGCAAGCAGAAAGTTAAACAAGAGAAGTCCTGAGTTTTTTTTCCCAAGGACAGAACTTAATTTTAGGCTAAGAATGCTGGTATGCAAAAACATTAGCCTTTGAAAAAAAGTCTCTTTCTCTTATAGTTTGAAAACACTGAGGTTTTCATAGAAAAATTTTAAAAGGAAGAAAAAGAACTTTTAAACAAAAAGCCTTTCATTTGATTTGTGTTTCTTCAGCATTTCACATACTATTCCTCTGTGTTTCTAATACTGAAGTAATTGGAGTTCAGATTCTAGTTTACACCCAAGGTTCATACAATTAGTGTAATTTCCCTTTGCCTAGTTTCTCAAGCTGAAATAGAGAAGTGGCTCTCTCCTCTCCTCTCCTCTCCTCTTCTCTTCTCTTCTCTTCTCTTCTCTTCTCTCTTCTCAGAAGGGAGCCTATTTGCCCTTAAAATACAAGTAGCAACTTAAATATCCTGTACATAAAATTCTGAGTCCAATCTCATGGATTTAGCATTTTATGTAAAGGATATGGACTTCCAATTCATGTAAATTCCATATTGAAGTTCATGCTAAGTGCTGAATTTGGGTCATATAGTCTTCTTTAAAAATAGATTGCAAAGTGAGGAGGATTTCAAATTAACCTTTATGTGTCTTGACAGAGCTTAAGAATCAGAACTAGAATGGACAAATAAATATTGGGGGGTTTAGGTGTCTCTTTGCTTAGATTAATGTCCTATGCCTCATCCTCTGAGTCCACTGCTGATTTATTACAGATGGTGGTAGTTTTGCTTTTATTGAAGGCCAAGAGTGAAGGTTGACTTATACACTGAGCCCTTAACTAGCAAAGTGTTTTTCAGAGCATCTAATAATTTGCTTTGCCTCTATGACAAGTAGCATGTTTATAGGGATTTATCAGCTCCCAACTCATTAGAGGCTGAGAACTGGGTAGGGTTTAGAAGCAAAATTGATATCAGAGAGGACAAATACAGAGCAGTAGACAGAAACTGGCATTGGTTCTCCCTCTCTCACATTCATTTCTATGGATAAATAACTTAAGTCCTTGTGGAGTCATGTGCTTCACAAAACGTGTTTGCATCCACTAAACAGAAAAAATAGACTGACAAATGTAGCTGACTATAAAAAGCAACTTGAAAAATACAAATGAATATGTATTGAAACCACCAAACCAGGAGGATCTCAGAACATGCTCAGAACATCTATAGGTGATTGAGTATGATTTAGATTTGATTTACATGAGCTTTGCACTTGGTGATCAGGAACCATTCCTCACTGCAAGGAGCAACTGTCCAATTAAAAACCTTAGCATGTTCATAATTTGTAAGGAATATCAATGGCTGATCAAGTATTGTAAAGAGTAACCAGCAGGCTCTACAATTCCACATGTGCACAGGTGTTTCTCTTAGTTTAGATTTTGAACATTAATGGTGCAAAGCAACAACCTTGCTTGATCATATGTGAGTCCTGTGTAGGCACCCTGACTATTAGCATTTATTTTCAGGGAACTGCCCAAATTTTGTTTCAACACTCAGTTTTGCTCTGTGTCCTTTGCAGGGAAATGGAATCCTTTTCAGTTTCCCTGTCTCCATTTTTTTTTTGTGTGTGTGTTTAAGACCAGCTGTGTCTCAGTGATCATGGCAGTCAAGAGCAATAGTCCAGTTGTAGAATAGTGAGGGACAGGAACTGGTGATTGTTTCCTTCATGCAAATCTGCTTGCTTTTTGCATTGTTATTCATCATAATAGTCTTCAGCAACTTGGCTGTGAATTTTTAATAGCTGACTGCAGAATGTGAAACAGAAGCATCTCTTGGGTCAGGAGTTTTGCCCATTGTAGCATCATAATGTAATCCTATTTGAACTGTGGATTTGGAGATTTGTGGATTTCAATGCAAAGACACATTATATAAAAGGTGGAAACGGAGTCTTTGCACTTTAAATGGAAAAGGAGATCTCTGTTGTAAGAATAGGTGTAAACAATTATGCTGGGACTTGAATGCTGAGTGGGTAGAGCAACCTCAATTCCTAAGAAATGTGGTTAAAGTTCATCCCTGTGCTTTGGGTTTCTTTGAACCAGACTGGCTAGGCTTTGGGCAGATTTTGAGACATCTGACTCAGTCCAAGGTGCAGTAAATTCTGTCTTTACTCCTCAGACCTGTCTACAGAGATAACTCTATAGTTCCAGGTAATTGATGTGAGGTGAAAAAGAGCAAATTGGTTAATCCGTAAACCAGTACTGAAGATATGAAAGTATTTTGTGCAATATGTAGTGAAACAACTGTAGTTTGCATAGCCTTTTTTTTGTGCCTCGAATCTTTGCAGATCTCTCTGAAATAAATTTTCCAAACACTGACATTCCGTTCCATGGGAGGAGACAGCACTTTGGCTAAAATGGAAAAATACTGTCGTTGAGTTGGCTGGTTAGCTATTCAATTAATATAATCTTTAGCACTCAATGACATAAATCACAAGCTTGGTTGTCAAGACACACTGAAAATTCCATGGATTTCAAGTGTTATCTGAGTGGCAGGTATAATTTCTTATTGTCATATGAATATAGTACTTGAATACCTGTGGTCTGAAAGTTATGTAGAAAATAATTCCTACTTATTGTGGAAAATGAGAAAAAATGCACATATAAAAACAAAATCTGTGGAGGAAAAAGGATATTTCTAATGGTATTTTTCTCCAGGTATCATATAAAAATACATTATAAAATAATACTTTACTTATAATAACATATAATACATACATCACAGAAATATATACTGTAATAAATTATTCTCTGATATTCATTATTTCATGGTATTGAACATACTGCTGACTGTGTTTGCAGGATATGTAGATGTATAGCAATATATGCTTGTGTGTTTTGACCTGACTAAAGTAATGAGGAAAGATTTTGCCTTCTGCAGAATTATTGAATTTCTTCAATGTGTTGTACATGAAAATCTTCCTTAATATCGGTATAGAAAGAGGTGTGGACCTGCCTAAATGAGCCAAACCTTCCTTCATCGGGTGGTTTGTTCAAATGTGTCGCTGGAGGATTTTGTCACGGTTGCTGACTCTGGGATATAGTGGGTACTTAAGCCACAAGTAAACATTACAGCTTTACCTAAAGGATAGCCATGAATAGCAGATTTTGTCACGGTTGCTGACTCTCTATATAGTGGGTAGTTAAGCCACAAGTAAACATTACAGCTTTACCTAAAGGATAGCCATGAATAGCCATTAGTTTCACAGGAAGGGAGGAAATTATCCTTTTCCTGATTGTCAGGTAGTTAAACGCGGTCTTCCCAGGGTGGATTTCAGTCGATGAGGTATTCAAACAGTGAGGACAAAGGAACAGTGAAGAATTACATTTCTAAAAAAAGACCTAACTGTAAACAGCAGTAAGTAGTTACTTTCTTGTGTTGTTCTGCCTAAATTAACCCTGAGAAAAACTAAATATCTTTTGTTTGATCTAATTTGCAAATTCGTGGTTTGTACAATTTAACTGAATTAAGGAGCATTGATGGGATGTTGATTAGTGCTGAGATTATCGGCACACACTAATAGGTAACTTGATAAGATCCAGTGGTCCCAGCAGTGGGTATAATTGTCAGAACTATCAGGCAATTTTAGGCAATCCAGATAAATTAAAAATTACTTTGGTTTTTTCGTTGTTTTTTTTTTTTTTTAATTGCTTTGTAATTTGTGCTTTGGTTAATACTAGTAAAGCGTTTCTGGAAGTTTTTCCCCTGTATATTTTTTTCCATATATCCTGTGCTTTTGTTTTGTTTTATAGGGTTAAAAAAAGCCCAAAGAATCAGAAATGCTTTTAAAAATAACTTGCTTTTCAATAGACCCACTTCATTCGCTGCTGGATGACCCACTGTCTGTTATCTGTATGTAAATCCACTCCTTTGTTTTTCCATCAGGTAAAAAGTAGAATTTCCCTGCTTTGCAAGATCCAGGTGCACTGTATGCTCATGAATGCACGTTCCTCTTCAGAGCTCTCTGGCATATTGGCTTTGATCACTTACCCAGTTGAAAAAGCACAAATAAAACGGCAAAATACAAATATAACTTCCAAATAGAGAGAGGAGACATGAAGGAAGACATGAAAGTAAACAAGGTATTGTTTTTTATTCACTAATTTTCTTCCAAGCATGTAACTTTCACAAAATTATCTGCAAAGATCACACTCAAATGATGTCAGTGGTTAATGGGTTGTAAAAAAGTGTATATTAAAAAGCCATATAATTTGTGACTCACCATTCCAGTTTCACTGTGTCTGAGCACAGAAAGAACTAAAACAATGAAAGATTTAGAACCTAAGCTTACATTCTTTAGGGGTTTAAGATTTCCACTGTGGTTAATTGAAGCTATATATGACTAAAATGCTGCAGTTAGATCTAAAGAGAAAACAAGCAAAACTGAACCCTTTCTGATTTAATGCAATTTTGTCTGTAAAAATCTGTTTTGTTTTTTTTTTTTTTCTCCCAGGTATGTTACTATGCTGGTTATACTGTGCAAGTTGGGTAATTGCTCATCAATCAAAAGTCCTTTTCAATAGAAAAGGAGAAAATGTCAGTAGGACAGAGAGGTAGAAAATTATTTTAAATGCAGTAATCTGCTATTCTTGGGGAAAAAAATCTAATTTCCTATGAAATTAGGAATTCATTCATCCATTCATTCTATCTTCCTCTGCAATGTGACTTCTGGGCCCTTAGTGTTTGGTATTTCCTATTTGGTGCAGCGGTAAGGAAGGGTGAGGAAAATTGCTACGTGGGGTTTAATCCTCCCTTGATTCTGAAGGATGGAAGAGCTGAGGTATCAACACCAGTATATGTTACAGTAATCACAAACTGGTTTTTAATTTATAGTGAGGGGAATAATGCCTTAGGGACAATCCTTCACTACCCCAAACTGCAAGAATCTTTTGCACTTTCCAGAATGCTCCCTTCACCGAGAAGGTGAAGAGCATTTGGAAAATTGTGACTGTTTGCTGGGGGTTTTATCTTTTTTGTGGGTCATGTCTGGGGGTATCAACCTCTTAATTTCCTCTTCTGTCCTGCTGAAATAGTACTGAGCAAACCTTTGAATTAACTGCCTTACAATAATTAGATTTGGCAAAATATCTAGAGACACACTCATGTGCCATTACAGGTGAAAAAACCCTCAGCAGATCTGCAGTTGAAGGGTGCCTCTATTTACCCTATCCCAGTATTTACAAAATAAGATAATTATGGTTAAAAGAGCTTTTATTAGTGAAGATTCGCAAATCAGTGACTAGAGAAAATAGTAAATCTTTAACATACAAGAAATAAACAAATGAGGTGCTTTCCTCAGGCAACCCCCACTGTCCCAATATATTCCCAGGAATCCTGCTCTCCTGTCCTTTCCTTATGGTCCAGGAGCTCTGGGCATAATCCCCATCCTCCTTTCATGGAATTAGAGGCTTTCCCACTCATGTACATGTAAAACCTTAATATACATGTATAATTTTCAGTGTTTAAAGTTATAATGGCAGAACAAGAAGAAAGGAGGAGGAAAGACAAAGAAGACTAGTTTTGCTAGAAGTAGTTCTTGGTTCCTGTTAAAGCAATCTGTGGTCTGTGAACCTAAAGAGAGTTGCTTAAGAGCTGATAGCCTTGTTAATGCTGAAATCCCAGTTTAGCTGATCTCTGTCATGGAGGAAAGACAAATAAGACTAGTTTTGCTAGAAGTAGTTTTTGGTTCCTGTTAAAGCAATCTGTGAACCTAAAGAGAGTTGCTTAAGAGCTGATAGCCTTGTTAATGCTGAAATCCCAGTTTAGCTGATCTCACTAAGCATTTTACCCTTCCGTGGGTTTTTGGTCTTGGTTTTTGGGTTGGTGGTTTTTGGGGTTTTTTTTGGATGCTTGGTCGGTTTGTTGGAGATTTTTCTTTCTAACTTTTCCTGGAATCAATAGATATGCTATCTGGAAAATTTGGCCTTTACTAGATTAAATCAGTGTTGAACATCTTACATATTTTGCATTAGTGACAATGGAGTACCACTATTAGATTATTGTTTGCACTGGCAGGGTAGACTGGCAGATGCTTAGCTGATTTAAAATGCTATGGTTAGTGTGGTAACATCAGAGTCAGGTAAGCTGTGGTAGGTAGATACTAAGGGAATAATATTTCCATTTTACTGACTGAGAAATTGAACAACATGGAGATCATGAGGCCTGGCCACAAAACCTCATCAGGCTTTTTACAGAACTGGGAGTCAGGCCCAGTCACCTAAAATCCAGTTCAAATTTCTGGCCATCCAGTGTTACACTGACAGAGTCACTAATTAGTGTTTTGAAGATCTTACTTCTCTCTTACAAACAAAAGGAGATTAATCTTCTAATCCTAAATATCGAATGAATGTATCACACTGTACAGTTACAAAATGATGCTTTCAGTGTGACTTTTTAAACATCTTTCAGCTCATTCAACATTATTTTCTATAAACCAGAGTGCTTACAAAGGAATACTGTTCAACCTCTTCTCTGCAGAACAAAAAGCAGCCCACAACTGTAAGGTCTCTTTCCATTCATCAGCCACCACATCTGTTGCTTGCTTGGACACTGACCAAAATGATTCATTCAAATGTCTAACATTTATTTTTGGTGAAATACTGGGATTATACAGCGTGGCAATATTTCAAAAATGGGTCTAGAAAACCAAGGGAAGTTGGAAACAACTTCCTCAGCTGAAAACAAACACGGCGTTATATCATTCTGCAGCTTTATTAGAGGGAAGGCAGTGGCCAAGTGAAGCAGCTGGAATCACACTGAAGTGACTCTGAACTCTGCAGATCATTTCATTCTTCCTTCTGCTACAGAGCTCAGATCCCTGATTTACAGTGCCTTTTGTTTCAAAGAACTAAGCAAGGTAGGTCAAACTCTCTTATATTTAAGATCTTTCTCTCCCTTCCCTTCTAAATAGTGAGTCTACAGCTGCAACAACACTTGCAGGCAAATGTTGTAAGGTGGAATAGCATATAACGGCTAAAAGAGCTTCTTGGAAGAAAGAATGTGATACTCATTTACTTCAAAGGTTACTTTGAACCACCCCAGCACCAAGAAAAGGTATGAAAATGTGTGTGAATTTAATTTTTAATTACTTTTGAATATGTTAATACACACTCCGAGGAGTTTTACCCTCTCAGCAAATGGTGAGTGACCCTGACTTAAATCTCTCTCTCCCCTCTGTGTTCCCTAGTGTGTTGGATTTAGTTTTTTTTATTTGCTCAGGGATAGTGTGTCTTCTATAGCTATAGCAATTTCCAGTATAATTAGTTAAAAATACATCAGTTCTGATCTGGACAGATTCTAGAACAGAAACTGGAAATAATTTCTACTTGAATAACAGATTAACAGAATACTTCTGAAGAATTGCAGTTCTGCAGAATTAAATAAGGTTTCTGTGACCTCAGCTGGAAAGTGTGTGTGTTTTCCCTAACCATTGTGGAATAAGGTAGGATGTGGATCTAGGTTTCAGTAAGTGTATTGGAAGTGACAATAAGATTTGAAGCCTTGTGTGCTACCACACAATGAGACAGGAATAAATTCCACCTGCTATTCACACTTAGTGATAACAGTGTCATTGTCACCTATTGCCTTTCTAGATGTGATCTTGCAAGCCAAACAATATCCCAGATTTGTTTTTGTGGACTTGGAAAACATGGATACACTGAACATTGTCTGTGAATTAAAACACATTTGATTTCTACGTGAATAAAATAATATTACTGAATAATATAAAAAGCTTATTAATTCATAGCTAAGGAGAAGAGAGTGACTGAGAGTACCAGAGTATGTCAAGGTAAAGTAGTTTGTCAGAGGACATTTGTAGAAACTGATTTCAGGATTAACTTACTTATGATAGGATAGCTTACTTTCACTACCATAGTGCTATTGTTCTGCCTCAGAACTGGGAAATGCAAATATTTTTATAACCCAATTTAATTTTGTTTGATGTGACTGAAACTTCTGGCCAAATTTAAAGCATTATCAGCATCTTATGCCAGACAGACAGGATAGAGGTTCTATCAACTTTACTTCAGTCCTAGGGATTTTTTTATATGCTGTAAGTGAGTCCACTTCTCTTGAACTGAGAATCTCTTTGATTGTGGCACAGTGGAAGTTATTTGACTCTGGAGAATGAATTTATGGTTTGGATTCTCTAATTGCCTTTGTGGAAAAGTCAGGGAAGTACTGTCTAAGGATTCCTAGTTAGGACCTGATTACAGATTTTTACTGCATGGGTGAGAGCAGAGGAAAAATATTGATCAAAATAAAGCAATTTCTATGTCCTGTGCATTATACATTCTTTCTTTTCATTTTAAGAATTTCTTTTTCTGCTAACAACCAAATGAGCAACTTCTGAAATGCTTCAATTTTTTGTTTATTTTTTTATCATTTATATTGATAAATTGATTCAAGAGGAAAACTTAGATCTGTTTCCTAATAAAGCTAGTTGCATTAAAGAATTTTATTCTCTTTGTGTTTTTAACAGACACTTGAAGTTTTTGATCTGCTATTCGATATTCATTTTGAATTAATAACTCTGTTATTCCAAGCACTAAGCAGCAGCCAGGTTTCCAGGGGATTGTAATCCTTTGAATGGTCTTATTATTTGCTTATTTATTTATTTTGTCTTATGGAACGTGCCAGCAGTTCAGCTGTCTCTCTTACTGTGGTGGCTGCTTGTCTGGCTAATTTGCAGTCATTATTTCTGATAATGGTTTAATTTGTGTTCATTCAGTCTGAAGCTAGCAATTTCACCACAGTGCTGGGCTCTGTTGTGGCTGGCTTTGCACAAGAGAGCTGACTGTGAGGAGCAGTTCCTTGTGGTCTCTTAGCAGAAGAAAGGGGCTGCTGTGACTGGGGTAGGCAGTGTCCAAAAGACATTGCTCCTAGAGGGGAGATGCCATTATGTGGACATGAGCTCTCTCACAATTGCTTTTACTTTTACCGTGTGCTTGGGGCTCCTGGGACTAAAAGAAAAAGTTATGTGTCCTTCCTCAAAGGCAGCATATAGTATTTCCAGGAAAGCTCAGCTACTTCTGTACTCTTTCTATCTTCAGTATGTTTCAGGGGTTGGGGGCCTTAAAGCAGGAGCAAAAATCCACATATTAGTCCATGGTTGCTTTTTTCCAAAAGGAATTCCTGCTGGCTTGTTGGTCCTACTTCTCTTCCCCTGTCCCTTTCTGATACTTCTTGAAGGATGTATTTCAAGAATCAAAAGGCACAAGTATGAAGAACCAGAATATTTTCCCTCTATCCACTGAAGATATTTGCCTCTTTATTCTTTTGGCAAGTTATTCTGCTCCCAACTTTACCTTCAAATTTACTGTTTGGCTTAGGGCAAGATATGCCTCTTCCTTTCCCTACTCTTGTATGTGTTTATTCTGTTTAATTATAAACAAAGCAGGAACTGTCTTTCATTACTTGCTATAGTGCCTAGATCCTGCGAGGCTTTGATCTCCAGGACTAGGACCTTTGGGTACTTTCCCAACATAAAATACTTGCTTCTTTCAGCAAGTGTGAGCCTGGCACATGAGCTTTATTCCCTTGTGAGGCCTTTTAGAGCAGACAGAGAAAGTGATGTGTAGTAAGTCCTGTACAGTCAATGTAATGCCACTTCCTACACTCCCATCTCTTCTTTCTAGTGATGCCCTTTTAATGAGTTTCAGCCCCACATCACTTTCATGAGCTATTTTGGAGATGTTAAGAACCATTGCCCATTTAAGAAACCCAAGCACTGTTAACTGAGGGTGTTGTACCATATCTGGCAGAGTCAAGTGAGAAGTGATTTGTAAAGGTAATATGGGAAGCCTGTAAAACCAGTATTTCCAAGCTCCTAATTTAACACTTTAATCACAGGTGCCATCTATTCCTAACAGTGCTTGGAATTATTCCCAATACCGTGTTAGGGAAATGGATAAATATCCAGTCCTCCCAAAACTGTGTTTAACAATGTGAATTTTTCAGTTTTGCAGGAATAAAGCCAGTACTTACTATAGACTTGATCTTAAAGTAAAAAAAAAAAAAAAAAAATTGGCTTTGTGTGAGTAGGAAAATTAGAATAACACTGATACAAGAGTAGACACCCTTAATCTACTGTATGCAATGACCCTAGTATATTAACTGTGAGGACATAATAAAGTATGTTATCCAAAACATTCCAGCTGATAAGATATGTACTACCAGTATTTTGGAACTGGATGTTCTGATATACCCATGCAAAAGTATGTGTCAAGAATAATACAAGCATAGAAATATTACATTTATGCTAGAAGAAACTGCTGAGGGGTAGAATAAACCTAGGAAAATAGAGATTAATTTAGAGGGCAGTACACAACCAAGCATACTGTAAAAAAAGACTAGGAAATTAATCTGTGAAGTTTAATAGGACATCAGAAGGCATAGCAGAGGAATAAGTTGTGGTTCTCTGAGTTATTTTTTAACTCTTCTAGTTAAAAGGACTGCAAATATAGCAGATTGTAACCTATTTTTTATCTGCTATTCAATAGATATTTTGTATCTTGCTGGAGGGAATGTTACTTTGGATTTTTTTCTGTAATGACCTGTTGTTACCTGCATTACCTTTTGAATAGCTGTTGTCTAACATATGTTTAATTGGCTTAATTAGTCAACTGCAGAAAAAAAAATCTCTGCATTTACTCTGTATCCTCTACTCTCACTTTACTATTTTTTGTTTGGAGGAGTTGTGGTTAAAGCATGTGTTTGTTGAAACAGTACAAGCATTTAAAAAACATGCTCGGAGCTGCATGATCATGTAATGATCACATGAATGCTAGTCAAAATATTCTTTCATCACAAATACGTGAAACAGTTGCAAAGTAAAAATTCCAAGTGTTTTTTGCATGAAAACCTTAAAAAGCCATAATTAATTAGAAATGCAAGCATTAATTATCCCATCAGCCCAGTCACTGGAAAGCTGAAGCACTTACATTTTTTAAATCAGATATCTCTGTTGCTCTAGGTATGTAGTTGTTATGGTGGCTTATAGCCAAAGAAAATCCTGCTGGCATTTGAGGAGGAATAGAAAACACATGAAGCTTCCACGGAACAACACTTGATCGTGTGTTAGCTCAGAGCCAGTAGGATTCATGGTGTACCTGCTGGCTCTGAGGTGTGTCCTGGGACTGCTGAGACACAGCAGTGGGGATGGCAAGCAAAGGGTGCAAATCCAGGCTGCTTTTCTCTTCCTTGTGAGAAAACAGACCAGGAGCAGCAAGGGCTGCCCAGGTAAGTGCTGCCTTCCTCCACCTCAATGAGCATGATGGCACAGAAGGGGCCTCCCTTCAGGAAGGAAAAGGTCTCCCAGAGGTGAAGCTGTGGTTCTTCAGCATGAGAGAAGGGACAGTACTAGGTTTGAGAAAGGAGGATAGGGCTGTGGTTGAGCCACTAGGCAGGGACTCTAGATTTAGCACTTGGTTTGATCAGAGACTTCCTGTGGGTCATTCTCAGCATTCTACAGTAAACCAGACTGATGATACTTCTCACTTGAGCCTCACTTCAGTAAGGGCTGTGAATACTGAAGCATTATGACTGGTTATGTAAATACTTTGGCAGTGCTGGCACACACAATACATCAGGCAATTTTAAAATCTCAAGTGTCACTGTCTAGCTAAATGTCTATTTTTTTTGTAAGAATATTAATTTTTTTTCTCTAAAAAATTGTTTCACAGATATGACCAGTCATTTTCCTGACGCTGATGTATGATTTTTATGGTTACACGGTTTGCAGTGGCTACAGCAACTCCAACCAAAGAAATATTAAAAATTACATTCTTACTTTTGTCTTTATTAGCAGAAGAGAATAAGAGCAGAAACAAGTGCTGACTATGGAGTTATCAAATG